TCACAGTTGTGTAGCTGAGAGAAAGCTCGCCCCAGTGCGACATTTGTTTGAACGAGCGCGCGCGGGAAATTTTTTCAAAGAGGCGAGCATCTCGGTGAATACCTCCGATCGTAGTTCCGTAACCTACTTGGCACCAATTGAAGTATCTCTCTGCAGTTCCACCAGCGATGGGTAAGACCCATTTCATAAAAACGTGTTGTCGTAATCTGGTGCCTCCGAGATGAGGTGGAAAGAACGCATCAGTGACGGAGCACCGAGGACAGCAGATGAGGAGTATAAAGGCACACTCCCTCTCTATGGGGAGTCGTCGCGTACAGAATGCTCTGGACCGCTGGGGGAGCGTGCAACAGAATCGTCCGGGAGTGGCGCCGTCGCGCGCGGTTACTTGCGCGGCGCCGTAACGCGGCACTTTTTCGATGGGCGCGGCAATTAATTGACTTTGTCGATTGGAGCGACAGATTTGCTGCGGTCCACATTAACCCTTTTGGCCCTGCCCCATCAACTTCAACTACAATCTACAATCGGCTTCAACGGTTAGGCAAATATCAACTTGGAGGGGGAAGGGACATTGTAGCACTGAGCACTCAAGCATTTAAGACCACGGCGAACCTTCTGCAAAGGCAAGGGGAGGACTCGGTTTAGCGTCCCCTTGAAATTCAATGGAATGACGCTCAACTCGTCCACTACAGTTGCGGCGTCGCGGCCGCGACCACAAGCGCGGGTCTCCGGACGATTCTGTTGCTACGCGGCCGGACCGCTGCCTGGTGAAGTCGTCATCGTTATCTAATGACCTGATAACTACTTACTAACAGATACGTGTGTACCGCTGCAAGACCGAACACTAACTATTAAAGTTTATGGCATAACTATACAATATATCGATGCTGCGACTATAAGAAGGAAAAGAGTACCCACGGGCTCGAAGGGTGAGGAGGACAGATAGGCGAGGTGTCGAAGTGGTATGCACTCGATCCGACGGGCTCCGTGTAGACGGCTCCTCCGCCGAAAGATGACTAAAGAGTTAGCGATACGACCGCTCAGCGATGCGACAGGACGCCGGACTGACTGGTAGACGGGCGCGGGACGAGCGGAGATGCGGAGTGGCTTCCCGCGCATCTGACGATGCGTTCGAATCGTGGGAAGCTGTGTCCATAAGAAAGCGTTGTCACTCATCCTCGAAGCATAGGAACGTGATCGGAGCACAGCAATAGTCTTGTCGGACTGGCTCAATTCAGTGAGACCCATTGTAAGAATCTGTTCGATAACCGATATCATAAATTCTTGAAGGAATTGGTCACGGTAATTCCTATGAATACGATAAGGAAAGTTATACTGGATTGGGTAGGGGTCCTGCCCAATGTTACAACAGGTAAGTTTCAGTGGCAGTGGCGCCTTATCAACGGCGTGATAAGGCGCCGAAATCCACTTCCGGGTAGCAAAAACAATCCGTATCAATGTGGAAGAAGGTCGCAGCGTAATAGATATGGTATCGTTATTGTTATTGTCCCATTTTCATTCTGGACTGCACCTCATTCCAAGCAGCCGTATCTTCCTATCATATCGTATCGTATCTTCCATGGGGTTATGCTCGTCCAACCATTGTCTATCTCAGACCTTATTGGTTGACAACGCAAGGGTAGCAAATCCACGTGGAAGCCGTGATCGCTTCCTTCAAGACCTGTCGTGCAGTTCATATCTTGATCGTCTGATTAGGCGGATTCTCCCCCCGGGACTTTTGACGTCGACCGCCATAATTGGGTCAGGATCACGGCGAATAAGCCACTTCAAGCCTATCTTCGCTGGGAATCAGACAGCGTGAGTCAAGAAGAGTTTATATCCGCACGATGGACTGATTTAATTTATTTAATTTACAGGTCAAGTCGTAAACAGTGAGGTAACAGACAGCACTGTAGTGTTTGCGCTCGATTAGCCAAGACCATAGTTCGATCGACGATCAGCGAACGACCGCAAGTGTCGCCATAAATCCGCGGCTTGCTTGGAAATGTGAAGGTCGACGGCGGTAGGTCGGTCCGATTCAATAGAGCACTACTATTCCACACTAACAAAGTGGATTTCGAAATACGATTCAACTGATTCTTTTTACGCAGTCACGTGTTGGGCTGGGTTAGCATCTTGGTGAACCGCGTCGCCTTTCCATTTTGCACCGCGTTTATGGCGATCAACTTCTGCGGTCGTTGCTGTCGTCCGACAGCAACGGTAGCGAAAACTTTAAATTGCAAGAGACTTCAAGCTCAGTCCTTTCAACTGTGTCCTCAGACATATCAAATAGGTGGTCGAAGTCAACCATAAAGGTGGTTGTCAGAGTCCGCGATCCGTCGCAGGTTCGCGGCAGGTTTCGCGGATCACAGAAATCACAAGTGTTCGTCCAATACTGCAAGATGCTCTCCAATCCCGCTGCCATTTCTTTGTCTTGATGAGTATGGCCTGAATAGTCGATTGTTCTGCGATCTACTTGTTTTCATCGTGTTTCAAAAAATGTTCAAATGAAGCACTTGTGATTTTTGCGAATCACGCGAATCGCGCCAAACCTGCGACGGATCACGGACTCTGACACCAGCTCAAGATATGTAGAGGCAAAAGTGGACAAAAACAGAATCGAGTGTATTCTAGATTTTGAACCTTATTTAACCCATAACGGACGGCGTGCGCCACAAGGTGGCGCACGATTATTTCTTTTGTTTTTGGAATGTTTCTAGCAATCTTAATATACCCGTATATACTCTCAGCAATGTGGAATAACATATCTTCCCAGGACCTGGACGACTGGATTTTTGACAAAACCTATAACAGATTTTACATACATTCTGTCTTAATTTACACAAGTTTACTATTTGATGGATGGCTTACCCATGGTTCACATGTCCCCGAGACCCCTGTGACGGTCGCTTTGTGTTCTCGTAAATATAGCCACATCCTTGCTCGGGGTTGTTGTTTCGCATTTTTCGATAATGTCACCTACAGCTTCCATTCATTCTTTGCACCCTAGTTTTAGAGCGGAAAGGCGGGCTACGAACTTGTCGTCAACGGAAATCTCTTTTTTGGATGATGAGACACGGACACCTACTTCAGCCCCGTCTTATACCCATGCTGCTGTTCGCATAAGCCTTACATAAACCCTACCGTCCTGGGTGGCGCGTGCGCAGCACAAGGTGGCGCAACAGCAAAAAATACATCTGGCGTCCGATATGTAGAGGCAAAAGTGGACAAAAACAGAATCGAGTGTATCTAGATTTTAATAATACAATCTCTACACAAGTGCGAAGGAATAAATCATGAATGAGATCAATGATTATGGATCAACGAAGTAATGATTGAAAGAAGCCAAGGAAAAGGGGATTCTCACATTGACGGCCTACAATGGTATGTCCAATTTCTATCGGACGAAAAATAACAGTGAAATCACAAGGTTAGACATTCGCTCGGGCTAAGGGAAAACATCCCTCCTCCTTGTTTCTAACAATAACCAGAATTAAGTCTCTCAAGCTTACATTGTCAGGAGTTTTCGGATTTTCTAACAGAAGCAAACATTTACTTAACAGGTTGGATGGAATATGAATGCCAGCAAAAGGAATACTGGTAAAGACTTGACAACACCAGGTTGCTTGTTCAACCGGAGAAATTCTTTCTCCCTAGCTCACTGACCCTTTGGCACGTCCCACGCGAAAACGTGAGCGCCATTCTCAGTGATCACAAAGAGTTATGCGTCGAGAAACTAGTCACTAATGCCGAACCTTTTCGGTAGCTCCGAATCATTTTCCTTTCTGGAAGCCTCGTTGACCAGATTAAGAAGCGTCGACCTGATATGAAACCAGTTCCAATACGGGAAAGCTAAGTTTTCTCGAAGCAGACCTTAAATTTGTTTGTGAGTACTTTTCGTGACACGGGTCTAGACTCTAATATGCATGAGACGGTGTCGTACTTGAAAAAGCAGCTGTTATGGGCTGTTCATTACTTGATACAGTGCTACGCAAACGGCTGCTGCCCTTACAGTCCAACTGTACTTTCACTAAAACACGTCCGCAACACCCATTAACCATATCTGGCCTAATGTGGCGCTGTTTCGCTCCTACGATAAAGAAAAGGGGCCTTTGAGAAAGACCATCTGATCGGAACGAATCAAGTCTTACCCAAAGCACACTTCTACGGCCCAGAACACATCAAAATAAAAATTAATGCCGAACTTCTACGAAGTTGGACTTTTCAAGTACAACCGTGAACGGCTAATCTCTTCAATATTTCTGAGATCTGTGCAAAAGCCACCATGTCTTCGTTTATGAATGTCTCGCGGCAGCGCAGCCCTTGAATTCAGTGCTCTGACATGAAACGGTATTTTCTCATTTGGGGTTTGAGTCCAAAATCGTTCTCAATGTGAAAAAAAGCGTTTATATTGTAACTTTCGCTGCCCTCAATGGAACTGAACTGGTGCTATACTCACCTCAGCTTCCGGCAAATGAACGCATACCGCCATGTAATGCACGATCGCTTGTCATGTCATGAATCTGAATTCAGTGCATAGCGCAGCGTGCTGCTCGAAGTTGCCGTAGATGTCATCTGTCTTAGTGATCATATATAGTAGCAAATCTCAAAGATCTCAGATCATGGTTGAGAGAAGTTCGAGGTATGCTTTAATTTCCCAAAAAGCTACTCCAAATGTACACAGATATTGTCAAACACTTGAACAGAATGCAGCGGACATTCATATTTCACCATCCCAACATTCTCTATAGAAGTAATGTTTAAAATGTGGCTCTTTATACAAATATGTACAGTAGCAATTGCAGAAACATCTCATGACAAGACAATAAACGTCACTGCAACGCATCTTAGAGAATTGCTTCAGAAATTGCATAGTACACTACATCGTGACTGAACTACTTCAGTTTTCGTCCTTTCATTGGAGCTCTCATACCGGCACCGTCATCGGGTAGAGCTCTCTTCCGACTTTCTTCCTCAAGAGCGCTCAAAATTTGACTAGCGAGAATAACTGAAACAAAACAGTTAGGTGTCAATGAACCGAAAACTTGAAAAATCGCGTTTTAATTCCCCTACGAAAGGCTTTTGATCACAATCTCATGGAATGCTATCAGAACAAAAATACTCGAATGAGATCAAGCGTGTTTTGACGCCATAAATCAGCACTACACAAGAGTGGGATAGCAAAATAGGCAGAAGATTGTCTTGGTTCTGATGATTAATCTGAAGACCTACAGGCGATATCCAAAAGTTGAGGTAGGCGTGTCACCGGAATTGACGTGCACTTGATAGAAGTTGCGTGGGTGAGGTGTTGTAAGGATGCTTTGCTGATATCCAGCGATATATGTTAGAAGCAGCTTATCCATAACGCACTATCAAGTGCACTCAATCCACTGACAAGCCTACCCCAATTCTCGAATATTGAATATACCTAGACAGACTGTAAACAATTTGAGCCGTGAACTTCAAATGCTGCTGGAGGAGTGAATTCGTGTAAAAAGTATTGAACACGTGAAGGTGAACAACTTTCACGTTTCCTCTTCACGAATCTTTACACTTAGCCGCATTCACAACGAACCACATTCCATGATTGCCCTAGCTATATTTCTTCGAGTTTTGGCCTAGAACCTGCACTGTCACCACACCACAAACTGCAATTTATGCTTGAAAGGAACGAATTTCAAATGCACGTGCCTAGGGTGAAGCACTCATAGAAAAAATTGATCAGCATAGCTCTCAATAAACACCTGTGAATTGTCCCCCAGGAAGTGGTAAAGTCTCAGCAGAGTCACATTCCGGAGTGATTGGCAGGAACCACAGAGGACCGGTTTTCAATGTCACATCTGGTAATAGGCTGTTGATGTTGTCCTCCTAAATCACATCGCTACAGAAACGGCTTTAATACATCCTTTATTACGAATCCAAATCTAAGTGATCAAAACCTCGTCAGAGCTTCATAGGATTTCATTCGGTTTCAAGGACTCTATGTCGATTATTTCTTCATCAGAATCCTGAAACGAAGCATTACAACGTGTGCGTTTCTGATCTGTTTGTTAATGTCAAAAGTTCCCGCTGTTTTTAGTAATTCATTTTCAAACGCTTCATTTCTGAATCACTTCTGAGAAACTGCTACTACTTAACATATCAATACAAAGCGATATTCTCGGTCGGTCTAAACCTACAGTTGCTTTTATCTTGAGACATCTTCTTCCTCTCTTTGAAGTGTTGAGTAGAGCATACTCTACACGCCGGAATGTATGAAATTTTTTCTCGAATTTGGTCCATAGAAGACTAGTTTCCATTGTGAATAGGGCTGAAGCAAGTCGGGATATCAATTGAGTGTTTGGTATCAAATCCACAAAAAAATTCGTTGTGCAGTCGTGATTCAAAAATGTATTCTCACGATGATGGACGAAGGTAATAGCACAGGAGACTGACAGATGAAGAGAAGGTTTTGATTAAATCAAATTTGGCACGGAACTTTTGAGCAAGCCGCCTTCCCCAATATACAGGTGTCCAAAGAACGACCATAGAAGTCGATAAAGGGTGCCGAAAACTCTTTTTCCCCACAGTCGCGCAGCACCATGTCGCACTTCCAGCCCTGCACAAGTTTGTACTAGTTTGAGCGACAAAACTTGGTTGTGAACATTGCAGACCTCTTCCCTACCATTAGCCACTTTTCCAGCTATCAGGATGGTCTTTTCGGAAACGACCTTGGCCAAGCTTTTCGCCTGGAGAACTTCAGCACTTCCCACATCCGATCTATTGAACTCTCTTCTTTTGAGTGGAAGTATAGGGATTTTAATAGTTTTATTTCGATCAAAAATGTTTTGTTTGAACCGAGAAATGCGCTTTCAAATTTGAGGGTCAACATCGGCGGAAACTTCCCGAAAAACCAATAATAGAGAGCGAAATTTAACCTGTGAATTAGCTTTATCGTCCACTTCAGCGTCTTCATCCTCTAGATCAAACTCCCCCTCTTTCTCTTCATATTTCGCATTTTCTTCTAATTCAGTGAATTCTGGTGCAAATGCAGACCAGTTCTCAACGTGAGCCTGAAAATACACGAACTTACCAAAAGAAAACAACCGAAAGACTAAGACGTGCTGAAACGTACCTGAGTCCACACCGATACCATGCCATTAGCAACGGATAGTATAACCGGCCGAATAGGATGCCACTGAACATCCATCAAACACTCGCCCTGCAATGATGTAAAGTTTCTTAACGCCATGAAACAGAAAACTTGGATGTTAAATCACAAAGCCTGAACGCTCGAAAAGCAACTATATTACGACTAGAATGTTTTATCAAATCCATGTTGGGATAGATAACTCAACCTTAGTTCCGTGTAGGATCTTAATCAAAGTGCCAGTGGTCCGTTCCCAAACATACAAGGAGTGCGCTTTCGTGCTGGCTCCACATATATAATAACCTTCACTGTCTGTACAAACAGCTTTCCAAGATGCCTGAAATCAAGAACACCTCAAAATTGTAAGGACGATGCCCCTCTCATATAAACTTCGAAAAACCATTCGAGTACCTTATTAACGATGTCTGTGACACGATGCTTTGGCTCAATTGTGGAGCCATTTTGACAATCCAAAATGTCATTTAAATCAAATGTTCGTATAATGCGGTCCTGTGAGTTTGTTATGATAAAATTGCCTCTCCTTGGAATGACAATTTGCTTAACCTGTAATACAAAATCAATTCTAGAAGGGGAAGAAACGTTAAATACGAAAACAATGTCACTTCTCTTACCTGCTGTACACTGTTTTGCCTTCCCCATGACACCATTTTCAGAGTCTTTGCATTGTACACAATGAGTTTTCCCTGAATGAGACTATTTTAAAGAGAGTAAACTACGGAAGTGAGAGCAGTAGCATCAGAATGAATATTGGGCC